TATATTTTCCTCCCAGCCTCTCTGTCCACTCTTTCATCTTTCTTAGATCACTCTTGGGAAAATATTCAATTGCTAACCAAATCACAAATCTTTAGCAGTTCTCTTCTCCTTTTTTCACTTTTACTTGCTCTTCTTTCTACCTATCGCTTACATATCTTTTTTGTAAAATTAGAATCAGTTCATTTTAAAAAATATTGAAATAGAAAGTTTTATGTGCATTGTGAAAATAATTTATGATGCTTTACCTTTAGTTTATTTTTTTCCCCTTTGTACCAATGATTGAACCCAGGGATGCTTAACCACTGAGCTGCATCCCCAGCCCTTATTTATTTACTTATTTTAATTTTGAGACAGGGTCTCGCTACATTGCTTAGGGCCTTGCTAAATTGCTGAGGCTGGCTTTGAACTTATTATCCTCCTGCCTCATCTTCCTGAGTCATTGGGATTGCAAGCATGTTCCACAGCATCCAGCTCCCTTTACTTATTTTTCATTTAGTTTTATTCAAATGCATTTATTCAGTTCCTATGTATTAAGTGTAAAAACCAAAGTGACTTAGTTGTTGAAGGTAAACAATAATGGCAATCCATATTTTTGCCCTCAGAAAAAGTGTGAGCAAATTTGTCTGGATGATTCCTTCGTTAATCATACAATTATCTCTTAACTTGTGTTTCTCAGACACAGGTGGCCACTAGGAGATTTTCTGGTTTATAATTCTGCCCTTTGTCTTCTCTGCCAACCTGAATTCTTAAGGTTAATATCTAATCTTCACAGGAACTCAAATTCTCTCTTTGAATCTAAGGTAGAAGGTACTATCAGATTAAGAATTTCCCTGTGATAGTGTGTAGAGAGAGTGAGTCAATCTGACTTGTTTTATTGGTGAGGGGGTAAAATTGCATGAGGCAATCAATCTATCAATCTAGTAATGCCTTGAGCTGGGTAGCCACCCTATGGAGTGTGAGAACAAGTGGGAGAAGTGAGACCTTTGGTAGATGTCAGGTTCTACTCCTCTTCTCTTCCATGTTTCATCATCTAACTGTTCTGGGTCATGGTATTAAATGTTACATTTCACTACAGTATCAGTTTATGCACCTAAAGCAAGATTACACATCCTTGATTCCACAGAGAAAAGGAAGAGCAACCTTGAGTAGGATGTAGGCTCCTTGAGTTGTTAGAGGTCCTGGTATTTCTTTTATTTTGTTTCTACTGGGACCAGTTTGCCACCTACTCAAAGAATAACTGTTCTCCTCTTAAAATTCTTAATCAAGTATGGGCAAACCTATCTTCACTTGTTATTATTGCTCCTAGAAATGGCCATGCACAATTTAATTGTGCTAGAGCTCAGTTTTTGAACTACAAAATGGGTATAATTATATAATTATAATAATAACATTTTGCACAGGCCTCTTATAAAGAACTAATAAGGTATGTGAAGGGATCAATTCAAAACCTGGACACATGCATGCTACTACAAGAGAAAGCAGGCATTATATTGAAGATCAACCAAATAACATTAAATTCAAATGGGAAGATAAATGGGCAGTATATATTAAAACTGAACATATGTACATCCTATGCCCCAGCAATTTCCATAAATGCACATTTATAATGTGTACTGTACATAGCTAGAAAGGAACAAAATCCCATCAACAGTGAAGTCAATATATTGTGGCATACACATAATGTGGAACACCATCGGGCAATTGAAAGTAATCAACTATAGTCACACAACATGAAGACAATTCATAAACATAACGCTGAATAGATGAGCTAAGCATGAGGAACATTGTATAATTCAATGTATATAAATGTTTTAAAAAGGGAAATAATAGAAATGAATCAAATCAAATAAAATGGTCAACTGTGTGATCAATTAAGGGAATGACAAAGTTGAAACAGGGGATCTTCCAAGATCTGTTTCATGTTCTATTTCCTATCTGAGTAGTTGTTACATGTGTGTATTCTCTTTGTAAAATTTAACTGAGCCACACACATATATTTTGTATGCATTTATATGTATGTTACACTTAAAATAAAAATTAGATTAAAAATGAAACAATGGGAAAAGCCATGCTATCTCTTAGAAATTCAAGAACTGAATACTGACTGGGACATTCTAGAATGGCTCAAATTGCTAGGTTTTAAGTTCCACCAGTATGTCAGCTTTTACACCTGAATCTAGGGAGATGGTCATATCTCCATGGAGAAGAGGGGGAAATAATATTTTTAAATATTATAGAAATACCTGCAGAAGAAAAAAAAGAAACTAGAAAAGTTACATTAGAAAGGGACTCCTTGGTTTATCCTGTACTTTTCTGAGCAGTTGTTATGCCTGCTTTGCATACAGAGCCCAATGTAAGGAAAATAAAGTGATAAGATTACAGAGTGAATAAGAAACAGAACTGAGATTATTCTAATTCAAAGTCAGCACTCCCCATTACACAGTGCTTTGTTTCCAAATAGAGGTCCTGGAAAAGATGGAAAAGAGCATCTTTACTATATGCCAAGAATAAATTAGCATTTTAGGACATGAAAGAAATGTTAAGCCTATTATATGGCCAATGAACATCTCAAACTCAGAATCCTGAAAACTTAATGGATCACCATGTCCCACTTCTTGGAATCTCCTCCAGTCCTCTCAGACTTGGTGAATGGCTCACTCAGATTTGGAGGACAAAAATTCCATTCATAGTTTTTGTTTTTACTCTTCACTTTCTTACATTAGCCATGTCGAATTAATTATCAATTTCTGATAATTATCACAAATGATGATGCATATTGACTGGGTGGAAAACATCTGTTTTTCATATATTATCATTATGTCAACAATATTAAAAAAACAAAGGAACAAATAACCAAACCGTTAAACAGGTTAAGCATTGAGCTAAAAGTTCTACACATAATAAATGGCAATGTAAAGATCTGAATCACGTTCTCACTGACTAGAACAATCTTGTAGGTATAATTCCCAAACTCTTTCATGACCTTTTTCCTGTAGCTATCCCCAAAATCATAATTTGACTTAATTGTACTCCACCTCAAATTTCAAGCCACCGTCCTGTCTTACCTGGAGTCAGACAATAATTTCAAACCAGTTCTATTTCCCTACTTGTGCCTTGCAAAGTAGGGAAGCAAATTATGGCATGAGACAGCCTGAGGTCTACTCTCATGTCCATAATTTCATAACCACGACTTAGAGACAAGTTACTCAATCTCTTTATGCCTCAGTTTCTTCAACTATAGAGTGATACTGTAAAATCTATTATGTTTCTTTTAATGAGTTAATTAACAATGTCATTTAAAAAATGACAAAACTGAATTTTCAGTAAATGCCCTTAATAATGATGATTGCTATATCAATAATATAAATAAAATATAATATTTTTTCTTTATTTGTAGATATAGTTAAATTCTAAAAGTCACGTAAGAGTATGATCTTTCTGTATATGGTATAATAGATGTTAACATTTCCAGGCTTACCCTTAGCACAGAGTGAGGACAGAGATGCTTCAATGCAGTGTGTTCTCAAAATAAATTAATTAATTAAATGGATGGAGATAGATATATAGATAGATAGATTATTAAACAGAAAATTCAATAAAATGCCCATGAAAAAACACACTATCTACTATGTCAAGAGTGATCTTCCTGGGTAGTTTATCCTGTTCTTTCAAAATAGTTACCAATTCCAGTCTGAGAGACATGCTTTTTTCATACATAGATTGTAAGATCTTGGAGTAGGGTATACTCATTTACAAAAGTATGTACTATAGGTAAATCTGATAATAAGACTTTATCTCCTCTGGGACATTCTTGAAGTAGAAGATCTAACAATCTAAGAAATTACAATTTCACAATATAACGATGGTCAAAAAACCTCTAATGTGTGCTTCACAAGAAACATGTTCTATTCTCACACAACCCCAAAATCCAATGTCCAAAACTAGAGCAAGGCAAATTTTCTTCACTTTATTTATCAGAACACTAATAAATAATTCTTCACTTTATTTATCAGGGATCTGTATAGGGAAAGCAAATAAGCCCTGCAATGAAGTTTATTCTTTTACACTCCATCATCTTTTCTTTCCAGGAGCCACAAATGTAGACATCTAGCAAAAATGTCCTGGTGAGCTGCTTTGACAACTGCACTTTCCTTTCTGCACTGAATGGGTTGGTTTTTGTCCCTCAGCAAACTTAATGTCAAGGCCAGCTTGCCTATGCACAAGGCATTGCAACTCCATCTCTGTGTTAGCAGAAGTTCTAGGAGGGATGTCATGTTATCTGAAGATGCTGGCCATTTCCTTATTCTGTATGATACTTGAGGATATGGATCCCTAGTGAGGTTTTGTTGTTGTTGTTGTTTTGTTTTGTTTTTGTTTTTGTTTTAGGAGACTTGAGTAGTCATTAGATCCTGGACTCTCTTTTGTACAGCATCCTTACTTGCAGTGCTCTGAGGACCCAATTCCTTTGTAGTAATCATCATCTGAGTCCAGGCTGCAATCTTAGAAAAAATAGTACTATCTCTGGGGATAAAGCAGGTAAATTTGAAGAATTAATTTACCTCTTGTAACTTCCTCTCAAAGAGGAGGGTGGAACTAGAAAGTAATGCTACTATAGGAACTCTAAATTTCATTATTAATAACATTTCTTTGACATCTGTAAAGACAATCCTAAACTGAATTTCTATGACTAAATAGTAATTCTAACATAAATGCAATTCTATGTATTATGTATAATTTCTCTAGGCCTTTTTCCTGAATATATTACTCATTTAATGTAATATATACATTTTTATTGCTGGCAAAACTCTTTTAACTTCATATGTAAGGATCAGAAAATAGGAGAAGTGATGGAGGTTTTGATGATAGATGAGTCACTGAAGACAAAGAAACGCCTTGGAGAACAATTGGACCTGAAGTCTAGCAACCTTAGTATCCTGCCTCAATTTCTTAGGAAGTCTCTACAAATTTTTTTGTCTTAAAAATGACAATACTAGAGAGTCCGCTTACCGACGCTGGCCCGCCGCGGCATCCTGGAAGCGGCGGCGGCTGGAGCAGTGTGGACTCTCCAGGTTCAGCACTCATTTGATGACAACTCCTGACTCCAACTGATTGAGGTTCCTGTTGTGTCTTAGTGCACTGTTTCGCTTGCTGGGGCTAAGATGGACCTTGTTCTCAGTGCCGCAGATTATTATTTTTTTACACCATACGTATATCCAGCCACATGGCCAGAGGATGACATCTTCTGACAAACTATTAGTCTCCTAATTGTGACAAATCTTGGCGCTTATATCCTTTATTTCTTCTGTGCCACATTGAGCTATTATTTTGTGTATGATCATTCATTAATGAAGCATCCACAGTTTTTAAAGAATCAAGTGTATCGAGAGATTAAGTTCACTGTCCAGTCATTACCCTGGATAAGTATCCCCACTGTTGCATTGTTCCTGCTAGAGTTGAGAGGTTACAGCAAATTATATGACAACATAGGAGAGTTTCCAAGTGGTTGGTTTCACCTTATTGTCAGTGTCATCTCCTTCCTCTTTTTCACTGATATGCTGATCTACTGGATTCACAGAGGCCTTCATCATAGACTTGTATACAAGCGTATCCATAAACCTCATCACATTTGGAAGATACCCACTCCATTTGCAAGTCATGCTTTTCACCCAGGGGATGGCTTCCTTCAGAGTCTACCTTACCATATATACCCTTTTATCTTTCCGTTACACAAAGTGGTTTACTTAGGTTTGTACATCTTGGTTAATATCTGGACCATTTCCATTCATGATGGTGATTTTCGTGTCCCCCAGATTTTAAAGCCATTTATTAATGGCTCAGCACATCATACAGACCACCACATGTTCTTTGACTATAACTATGGACAGTACTTCACACTTTGGGATAGAATTGGAGGTTCATTCAAAAACCCTTCCTCCTTTGAGGGGAAAGGACCACTTAGTTATGTGAAGAAGATGGCAGAAGAAAAATGCAACAGCTTTACAGAAAATGGTTGTAAAAATGAAAAATTATGCAATGGAAGATTTACAAAGACTAAGTAATTATTGCCCAATTATTCTTAAATATTTTTAATAAGGAAAAATAATCTACACACAGCCAAGATACACAGCAAGTAATTGGTATCATTTGAAAATCAGCATTGTGTGTTCGGCTAAGGAATGGTGACAAAGTAGGTCAAGGAAAGATGGTGTGACCATCAAGATTAGAGTCTCATGCTTAAAATGCCAGCTGCTGGCCCAGGGGTCAATTTTTGTCTTTCCAGCCAGCAGATCTATAGTTTGATTAGCCTAAAGAACAATTCTAAATAAGATAGAAAATATACTACTAAGGGGAATAGGCTATATCCTTTTGCCTTAATCCACCTGTATTCATTAAGAAAAATTCATTGTGCTTAATAATACCAAGACTAAGCACCATAACCAAAAAATACTAATATAAAGATGGTTCCTTGTTCCAGGAATGGTTAAGTCTTCAGTGTTGGTATGATAATGAATATTATCATATGATGAATATTCATAGGACTTTGTTCAAGTGGAAATGTCAGTGTGAAAAAGAAAATTTGATATATTAGATAGCTATGTCAATAATTTAATGGCAGATATAATAAAATAATTATCTTCCTATACATAGGAGCCTCATTTTCTGGGACACTGTCAAATAGTCCATTTTACTGATGAATAAAAAAGTGGAAATTTTTTAAAAAATCAATTCTACCATGATTTAATCCAGATATGGGATTATTTAGCTAGAGATGTTGATGCTTCTCATTTAAAAACATTATTTAATAAGTATAAAAAATGGAATCTGAATATAGTTAGAGAAATTTGATTCCAAAGTAATATATTTGGCACTACTGATTTTTTAAAATAAAATTTATGCACTGCACTTTTGATATGTTTCAAAGTTACAAATCCATCATTGTTTATAAAAGGAAGTAATTGCCAAATATTTAGGTCTTCTTCTGAAGATTTGTTTTGAAATCTGATTCTCCTATTTCTCTACTTTTCCCCATTGCCTCTGCAAAAAGGCTTAACAAATACTTTCATAAAGAAATGTGTGTATTGTAACATAAATATATTGGAAAAACATGTTTTGTAAAGGCATTCTACTGTTTATCAATCAATAAAAGTTGATCATCCTGTTAAAAATAAAATGACAATACTAAGCGAGATCCTCTTGGCCTATTCTGGAATTTCCAAGGGAAAAATTTGGATATGTTCAATAAACACAGTATTTATTGTGATAAATGAAATGGTTCACTTTAGTTTAAAGATAATTTTTTTTAAGTTGATCTCTTAGCTATGGTAGATAAGTGATTACCAGTAGTTGGAGCAGGGCCAGTGGAGGAGGGGAAGATTAGGCAGAGAAACTGTTGATCAAAGGGTACAAAGGTGCAGTTAGAGAAGAAGATTAAGTTTTAGGGCACTGCATGGCGATCACAATTAATATTAATGTGCTATATTTCAAAATTCCTACATAGTAGATTTTTAACATCCCATGTAAAAAATGAGGAATTGTTGAGGTGATAGATACGTTAATTAGATTGAATCTTTCTAAAATGTGTACCTAGTTAAAAACATCATACTGCACTTCATAAATGTTTATGATAACTGTAAAAAATGAACAAGAAAACACAAATAAATAGGATTATTTGTAATTCCTTTCCCTCTTTCTATTTTCATCTTTTATTCAGCATTTGATACATTCTTGTGGTTGGTTTTAAGTAGTCTCTCATTTTCTTAAAGAAAAAGTATTAAAATAAACAAAACAGATAAATTAATCATTCATCATAGTCCGATCAAATCATCTAAATACTGATGGAAACTTGAAAATGCAGGTAGCTACAATTAAATGTACACTGTCATATATGTTTATCTAGACTGTAAGTTATGGATAACAGCTTTTTTAAATATTTTATTCACGATGGGGATGATATTTATAGAACTTTCATAAGACAACATATTAATACAAAATAGATAAATAAGACAAGTTGATGGTCACAAACATTTAGGAAAACTGGGCTTTTAAGCCTACTTTGAGTTTGTGATGAAGAATCCTCTCTGATATTAGCATACACAGAAACTCTAAACTCCCAATTCTTTGGATAAGTTTTGTAGGAGGAGGTGGTTATCTCTTCAGCCAAGCCAAGGCCCAAGAGGGCTGAACTCACTTATGCTTATCCTGCTCTGAAAGAAACTTGCTTCACCAGTGAAGAAAGGAGAAAAACACAAACGACCACTGCTGTCCTCTAGTGGTGTCTGAAGGAAGGATCATTAGAAGAAACTTTTTTTTTGGTACCGAAGATTGAACTTAGAGGCAGTCTACCACTGAACCACACCCCCAGCCCTATTTTATATTTTTATTTAGAGACAGGGTCTCACTGAGTTACTTAGCACCTCGCCATTTCTGAGGCTGGTTTTGAACTCACGATTCTCCTGTCTCAGCCTACTGAGCCACTGGGATTACAGGTGTGTGCCACCAGGCCTAGCTAGAAAAATCATGTTCAAAGGGTGATAGGACATGTGTGGGTACCATTCAGTGATTATGCTGGAAAAACAAGCAAAAACTGGACTCAACTATATTTGGTGAATTAATAAATTTTTATGATGATTTTATTTACTTTGGAATTGTATATTATTCATATTAAATTAGAGCACTTCATTTAAAAAGTATTTTTTAGTATCTCAGCTCCAGAATTATTACGTTAGTAAGTCTAAGCATGCATTCTTCATTTTTCCTTCTCACTGGAATTTCTGTCCTGGAGCAGCAACATATTTGATTCTTCATTCCTATCTCTTCCATCTATGTCACAGAGCTTTTGGGCAATGGCATAGTGCTCCATGTGATCTGGACTGAGACAAACCTGCAGCAGCCAATATTTCACATCATGGTCAACCTGTGCATGTGTCTGTCCACCACGACGTCATGCTCACAGTGCTGGGAAACCTGCGCATATTCAAATGGGAAGTTAGCTCATATTTCTGCACTCCCTGCTCCTGTTTCATTCTTCCTCTATCCTTCAAGGAATTGACTGTACTTTGCAGCTTGAACCCACTTCATTATTCCTTCAACCTGAAAATTCTGGGATTATCAACATTGGGTAGTGTATTAGGTACGAATTCATCCTTTATTATACCCCTTATGATCCATACCAAACTAACTTGTTACTATTATCTCCACATTCTCTCTTGCTCTTTTTATTTCTACCTGTTTTCTGTTTCTCTACCTAGGCTGTTGAGACATATGATTAAACAGATACCATGACCATTGCCAACCATTTAAAAAATTTTGTTGGATATTCATCCTCTTTCTCTGTGTCCTGATTTTTAATTCAGTCTTGGCAATTGTCTTGCAGGAGGGGTGGAATAAATCATTTTGGAATTGTTACTCCCACTTCTATGTTGTCCTTGTGTTCTACATTCCTATTGTTAGGCTAAAAATGGTGCATTGTTTTTCTAAGTGTTTCTTTCCCATTGTCCAAGTCTGTGCCCTGCATTTCCCATCATCTATAGTCAAGACCCAACAGATGATGCCAGAATACTCAGACTGATTCCTCTGAAAAAATATTGCAATACTCAGGTTTTAAAAAATGTAACATTGGGTAGTATTGACATTTTAAAAATATTAATAACTCAAATGTATTAAATTGGAGGTCTTTCCAAAAATTTTTGTGTCTTTCTCAATTTATTTAATCAATGTTTCTTAAATATTCATGGTATAGAGTGTTCACTTCTTTGGTTGTTTATTTCTATGTGTTTTATTTTATTTTATTGTATCTGTTGTGAATAGGATTATTTTCAATATTTCTTTTATACCAATTTTGTTATTGACATTTATAGAAAGCCAACTGATGTTTGTATTTTGATTTTTGTATTTTGCAACTTTGCTGAATTTATGGGTTCTAATTGTCTTCTGGTGGAGGCTTTAGATTTTCCTATAATGTAGTATGATATAATCTACAAACAGAAATAATTTGAACCCCTGCCATTTATTATATGGGAATTTTATTTATTACAGATTCAACACAATTCTTATCGAAATACCAATAATACTCTTCACAAAGTAGAAAAAAATTATTAAAATACATAGGGAATCAAAAAAGACATCAATAATCAAGGAAATCTTGAACAAAAAGAACAAATCTGAAGGCATCACAATACCTGATTTCAAGACATACTTCAGAGCAATATTAACCAACACGGCAAGTATTTCTTGATATTTTTGTATATCAACCAAAACCTATCTATATTTTTCTTTCTATGTATTTGCCTTTCCCTCTTCTTTGCTTTTATAATTCATCCAATTAAGCAATCTCTTTGTTCTTTAGACTTAGAATATGGAAAGCAAAACTATCAGATTTGGTTTCCAATGATTTAAGTCTTTTTTGGGGGGTAGGTTTTACTGGGGATTGAACTTGGGGGTACTCAACCACTGAGCCACATCCTCAGCCCTATTTTGTATTTTATTTAGAGACAGTGTTTTACTGAGTTGCTTAGCATCTTGCAGTGGATGAACTAGCTTTGAACTCACTATCCTCCTGCCTCAACCATCTGAGCCACTGGGATTACAGTGAGGGGAAAAAAAGTCAATCCGGGGGGGGGCGGAGAGCAGTAGCTCAGGGAAGAGCACTTGCCTAGCATGTGTGAGACACTGAGTTAGATTCTCAGCACAACATAAAAATAAATTTTAAAAATAAATTTATTGTGTTCGTCTACAAATAAAAGATTTTTTAAAAAATAACCATATAGCTACTCTATCATCTTACTAATGGGAATTCTAGAAAGATAGAAAGGAGAAATATAGGAGAAATTTATTTAGACACTGATATAAAGCTTTTCCTTGAACAAAAGAAAATAAGAGTTTTAATTGAGGGCATTTTCCAAGTCCCAATACAAAACATAACATTAAATAATGTTTCATAGTAAGAGAATAAAAAGATAAGCACACATCAAGAAAATATCTGCAAAATACATTATCTGATAAAAAAGATTTGTATCTGAACTATACAAAGAACTTTTAAAATTCAACAATAAGGAAATAACCTAGTTAAAAAATGAGTAAATGATCTAACAGACACTTTACCAAAGAAGATATGCAGATGCCAACAATCATATAAAAACATGCTGAATACCATACATCATTAAGGGATTAAAAACTGAACAACAAAATACCAACCATAGTACTTCTATTAGAAAGACTAAAATACAAAAACTGACACTGTAAAATGCCAGTGGGGATGTGGAGCTACAGCAATGCTCATTCATTGTTGTTGGCAATAAAAATAGCAGAACAAATTTGGAAGACAGTTTCATAGTTTCTTTCAAAACTAAGTATAATATTATCATGTGACCCTGCCTTAAAACTTCTAAGTATTTACTCAAATATGTTGAAAATGTAGGTCCACCCAAAGACATGCACACAAATGTTTATAGAAGCTTTATTCATGATTCCCAAAAGTTAGAATCACCCAAGATGAGTGGATATTCAAACT